TTGGTCATTCAAGCATATGATATCAGGATTATTGAGTAATTTATTGATTTCAAAGATTTCAAGAATATTAAGTTTTCTGCTTTTTGAACAAACATGTAAGTAACAAGTGAGAATCAATTTCTGCGGTAAATGAATGTGTGGAATTGAAAACATAATTAGCGAAGGAACTTTGAGAATAAATATCATGCGACCAGTTAGAATTTTGAAATTTATTGATGATTTTTGAATGCTCAGAAACTCTTTGTCAAAATTTTCTCCCGGTTTGACCAATATAACTCGCAGAACAGCCGGGGTGAGAACAACATCACTGGTAGACGCCTTATTTGTCAGAAATAGGAATAGAATCTTTGGTATTATTGATATGTTTCTTCAAATTATTGATGGTTTTAAAACTAATAGTGACATTATTGGTGAACCTATGAAAAATGTTTTTAATATCAGCGGAAACCTCTCCTAGAAAAAATAATCCTTAGAAATAGGTTGTGAAAGTAATTGATGATTCAAGAACTTAGTTCTATGGCGGTCAAAAATACTTTGGATAATATACTGGGAGTAACCATTGTTTGCTTCAATTTGTTTTATGATATTGTGCTCTTTCTGGAAATTGATGTTGTTCATAGGAATGGAGAAAAGCCTAGAGAAAAGGGCATTGAGAGCAGCATATTTATGAGCAGGAGGATGAAAAGAATGAAAGGGAATAACAGAGTCTGTGTGTGTAGGTTTATGATGAATTGAAAAATCGAAATTTCCATTGTTTTTAGTTATCAGAAGATCCAAGAAAGGAAGGCAGTTGTGTTGTTCTAACTCCGAAGTGAATTTAATGGAGGGGTGAAGGTTATTCAAAAATTCTAGAAAACTGGTCAGCTCGGTCAAGGAACCATCAAACAAGATAATAGTGTCATCAACATATCTGTAATAAAAAATAATTTTGTTAAAAAATGAAAACTCTGGTAGACGTTTTTCAAGGTCGAAGAGGAAAATTTCGGCAAGTAAAGGGGAAAGGTTGGAACCCATAGCTAAGCCACTGTTTTGTGTATCTATAAAATTCATTATTGAGATGGAAAAAGTTTTGTTCAAGGACTGTATCAACCAGGGAACAAATGTTAAGACAATGGTGGAAATTGACATCATTATCAAAAAGTAAATTTCGAACAACTCTGACACAATCTTCGCCAGGGATACAATATCAAATGACACCAGAATAGAGTTTTCTGGCAGAGCTTGACCAAATCAGAGGAGTTTTTCAATGAGACAGGATTTTCAAAATTCAAAATATTCTTCAATAATCTATTTAACCAAAAAGCAAGTTTAGCAGTAGAAGAATTTATATAAGATACAACAGGTCTGATTGGATTAGAAGTTTTATGAATTTTGGGTAAACCATAAAGCAGAGGGGTAGAAGGATTCATTGGAATCAAATTGAATTTTGAAGAACCATAAAAGTTAATGGTGTCTATTGAATTGTTAATAACTGATTTAGTGTAAGAAAAATATTTCTGAGTTGGATTGTTGTTGATTTTGGAAAATTCATCAGTGTCCAAAAAGTTGAGAACTTTATCAATATAAGGAATTTTATCAAGTATAACTAGACAATTGCCTTTATCAGCTTTGGTTAAAACTAGATCATTGGAGGAAATTTTAGATTTTATTGATTCAAGCAATAATCTGTCAGACTTTTTATGATTGAAAGAGAGGTTGGGTCTAAAAGAGAAATTGTTGTTTAGGATAAGGGAAATTTGGCTACGTAACAAGTCTTTATTTTCACAAATCATTCTTTCAATCACTCTTTCACATTCAATTGCGAGCATACTGAAATCTTGTTTAGTTCTAGGAAAGTCAACATATTATATTTTGAGCCTTGATTAAGTGAAGAAATTTCATTTTCATTGAAATTAGTATTGGATAAATTGAGAACTCTGCTGTGAAATTCGTGGTTGGAAAAAGTATGATTGTTTTTTTGAGTAGAAAGCCTAGTTTCTTCTTCATGTTTCAAACGGGAGAGTTTATTAGTAAGAGAATTATATTTTATCTTTCCTTGGTCTTCAACATAGGATCTGAGACGATTATCAAACCGGTTGTTTGAATTCCCAGGTTAATTTGAACAAATCATATATTCCACTTCATAGAAGGTTAAAATAGCCTAATAATCAATCCACTCATAATATTTTTTCACAGATTTATCAAAAACTCCTTTTTTCTCTATCATGATTTAATGAGATATCCAAATCAGCAATTTGTGCACTATCTTTCCAAGTAGTTTTCCACAACACTGAGAACACCAATGGTTTCTTTCTTGTCTTTTCATATTCCAGAGTTGGAGTGGTTTCTTAATGTTCCAATTTCATGGGTTGTGGAAGTTCTCATTAGACTTTTTACTTCCTTTGCAGTTGGAGGCTTGAGTTTCCACAAAGATTTCTGAGAATAACTTGTCACAAACCGGATTCTCAAACCTTCTTTGTGTTAATAGGTTGTCAGACAGTTGAATTTGTTCAACTTTTGATTACATCTGGAATAACTTATGTGAGCTCTCATTAGGCTCAACTGGGTTTCCCTGGTGTATTCACTTGTTGAATTGTTGCGTTTTGATAAACAAGAATATTGACTGACATGTTAGTTAGGTTCTCATTAGACCAACAAAACATTCGCTCCTTAGGGACTTAGGGTATGGTCCGTAAGTCAATCAGGTTAACCATCACTTTACCTCTCTGGTAAAAGATCGGTTGCATGAAAACCGGTTCATTTACGGACCAACATACCAGCGATGACATTCATCTGACAAAAATGATATCACGCTGTCAGGTCCTTGCTTTTGGTTTTTGGCCACATATAATCATAAAATAATATTAGAAATGAATAACAGATTGAGAAACTTTGTGGTGAATGAGCTTCTTCTCAGTAGCAGTAGCAGTGAAGATGAAGATGAAAACTTGGATATTAGAGGACCTTTGGGTAAGTGAAGAATCTTGCTTCTTCACTCGCTTTTCCATTAATAGCAGATTTTTAATATTATTATTTTACCTTTGATAGTTCTCAGACCAAGGATGAGAAATTTTGTACAGGATGTAGTGGACGAATATTCGAATGAAGAATTTCGGGAACATTTTCGGATGTACAGGGGCACATTCAATTTCATTCTAAATTTGATTGAAAACGAAATTGCAACAAAGGAAGATGCCACTGGCAGGCACACCTGTAGTGCTGAAAACCAATTACTGATTGCAATTTGGCGATTTGGTAGGTACTCCTGATTCTTATAGGTAGATATTCTCACACCATAACTTTTATTATTTCATAGTGGACATGATCTTTACATACTTCAGGTCAATTTGCTCACGTTTCAATGTTGGTAAAGCTACAGCAATTAGAATAGTTCGGAGAGTTACCAATGCTTTGTTGAACATTAGTAACCAAATCATTACCTGGCCAACAAATGATGAAAGAGAAAACATTATAAGAGCTTTCACTGCCTTGGGTTTCCCTGGAACTGTCGGATGTATAGATGGATCCTATGTGAAAATATCAGAACCAAAACAAAACCCCAGGTCCTATATTAATAGGAAAGGATTTGCAGCCCTTATTATATTGCAAGTAAGATTTTGTCCTTTTGTGCATATGTAATCGAAAACTAGCTTGGGATGCTTTACAATATCCAAACATGTTGCAAGGTCACTAATAATTTGTTTTCTTCTAGGGTGTTTGTGATCATCAGTTGAAATTCTTACATGCCACTGCAGGAGAAGTAGGGTCATGCCACGATGCGAGAGTTTTGAGGAATAGTGAGATATGGGAATATATGATTGGTATGCCAGGAAATAACAGATTCCCAGAAAACTCACATTTAGTGGGAGATAAAGCCTATCCTCTAATGCCTCACCTCATGACTCCATACAGGGATAACGGCCATTTAACAGAAGCCCAAAGGCATTACAATTTTTGTTTATCTAGTGTAAGAAGTTGCATTGAGAGGGCTTTTTGTCTCTTTAAAAAGAGATTTCGCTGTCTGAAGTTTCTGGATGTGAAAGATATTGTTTGGGGTACCAGATACATTATTGCTTGTACAGTTTTGCATAATATATGTATTATGCAGAATGATAATTTGGAGCTTCGAGTGGAGGATTTTGGAGAGAATGAAGATGACAATGCAGTTGTGGATATGGGATTACATCATCTGAGAATTATGGGAACGAACAAGAGAGATGATTTATGCAATGAATTGTTCTTGGTATAAATTATAAGATGAACCATCAAATGATTTTTGCATGATTTATTCATTGAAAATTCCTTAAACAGATCCATCTAAACAATTTCATATATTGTTAAATATGAATTTGCTCAAAGTTTACAAAATACACATAAACTTCCAATAAAAATAAAACATTTCATATTCTAGCTGAATGTACTCGAATAACTTTTTAGGAAATACAAATAATATAAAACCATTGAAGGTCCATTTTGGTTGGACTAATAAGTCGAAAAACAAACTTAACATATTATATCAAGTAAATAAGTATCTATCTATCTACTATAAAAAAATTAATATATTCCTGTATGAACAGTCAATTCATTGGGAAATGTATCATCAACAATAAAATAATGATTGCCTACTAGCATCCCTTGGGTGCATAGAATCTGTGCGTTATTCAATAGAGAGACCTGCATCATCCTTGAAAAGTGTAAGACCTGGCCCAATATGGTTAGCAGTGGTTCAACATGTTTTGTATTGCCTCTAAATTATAATTTACATACCAAAGCATCATTTTGAGGCAATTCAAAAAATGTTGAACCACTGCTAACTATTCCGGGATGTTCTACACTTTTTAAGGATGAGGCACATGTCTCCCTTAGAGAACACACAAACTATGTTCAATCTGTAGAAGGATCATTTTTCTTCTCACTGGCCTTTAGCCACTCGAACACTTCCCTTTTCAGCTTCATTTTTTCATCATGCCTGGCTTGTCTTTTCTGTTCCAACTCTTCAATAAATGAAATGCTTTTTCGCTTCATTTTCTTCGAAGTGTTCGTGATCCCCGGATCCAGTCCTACTGGAGAGTACTTGGATCTGGAACTTGTGGGAGTTTCTGGTTGCTGCATTCTAATTTGTCCTGTGCTACTCACTGTGGTCAGAGGAGAAAATTGTGGATCTTTTCAGTAAATACTATGCAGTGCATCAAAATACTTCCAATTAACAGTTGAATTTCCAGTTTTTTCATTCTCTCTTCTCACTACTTCATATTTTTTCTTGAGGTTTCTCCACTTCTCATCACACTTTCTGCCTTTTATATGAACACCATTCGCTTCTAGTTTTCGGCTTATCTTAGCCCAGACAGTCTTCTTATTATGTTGGGGCGACGAAAATGATTCTACACATTCCTCATACGTGGAAATTAGAAGTTTAATAGCTGAATCTGTCCATTGGGTAATGGTACTAGAGCTACTGGAACTGGAGTTTGTAGTAGCTCGGACATTCTCCTGTTCTTCTGAACGTTTAAAAACGCCTTTTGCAATATGACTTCCATGATCAAAGGTAACTTCGTCATATTGTAGGAAGCATTCATGACTTACACCTCCTAAGAGTTCGTTTAAGGAACCTATTTCTTGGTGGCAATGGAAACAGGTACATAGAGCATTCAAAATAATATCCTGAAATTACAAGATATTACCAATTACTGTATTATTGATCATATTCCCTTTTTGTTCAGTTTCTTACCTCCATATTGCAATATGATCAATATGAATACTGCCGTTTTTTGACTTTTTTCAAATTTCGAATTTCGTTAGCTGTCACTCTGTCACCTGTGTTAAAAAGATAATTGAACTAACCGGAAAAACCGACCTTCAAGTAACTGTTTTCCTGGTAAAATATTCTGATCACTTTTTTCAGAAACCTTGTCCCGTATGTCAAGGTTAGTTTGACACTTCGGTTATTTCAGAGTTTACGGACCTATGAACCGTAATTCTGGTTACGTTCGGTAGGCTTACGGACCATGCCCTTAAGTAAAGTACCACTATTAACCATGGTTCTGGTTCGCCGTTCCAATAATCTTGGTTAGTCACGAATTCCTGAAAAGTTGGTTACTTATGGAACGTCAATCCTGAAATCTTGACATTTAATATGTCAACCGAACAACCGATTGATAATTCGTGGTAGGAGTGGTTCTTGACCATTGACAGTAGAAGTCTCTTATATATTTTTTCTGAGGAAAATTCATCTTTATTGATTAAAGAATAAATTTTTCAAATTCTGGAATCTGAGATTATTCTGTATGATTCAAAGATGGACGTGAGTATTCTGTTTCTGTAATTATAAACCACAAAATTGATTCTCTATAATTTATTTTAGATCTGCGATCCAACGGAAATATTCAGATGTGGACATTGTTCCAAAGTTCTTGGAACAATCAATGATATCATTGAACATGATTTATGTGCTAAACATTCATGTTTTGCTTATCATGATAACATAGAAATAGATCCAGAAAGCAAATTGGTTTTAGTAAAGAAACTTCCTCTCACAATCCCCAAAGAAGTGCTCATCTCACATACTGCCGGTCCAAGTACATCAACATCAAAACCATTGGGTGAAACGAGGGGTGGAACTGGCGGAAGTCAAATGAATTAACAGAAAACCCAAAAAAAAAAATTAATCAACAAACAGTAATGTCCCTATTACCCATGATCCCATCAGTATCACCAAGTACTATAAAATCAACTAATAGTAGGAATAGTGCAAGTGTGAATGAAGGTAATCAACAAAATTCACTTCTCTGGAGTGATGATGATGTCAAAGCCCTCATAGAGGCATATGTACTTAATAAACATAAGTTTTTTTTCTCCCATGCACAACAAGAAGAGTGTTTGGGAGAAAATTAGCTCCCATCTAAAGGAGATTGGAATTCATAAAGCTCCTACAAAATGTGACGAGAAATGGAGAAATCTCAAAAAAACATATGAAAAAATTCTGGAAGCAAAAAAAAAGTGGCGGCTATCGAAGCCTAGTTACTTTAGCAATAAAGTTCAGCAATATTTTTTATTTTTTCCGTTACGCATTCTGCGATAACAATTTTCCAGTATGTTTATTGAGGATACTCAAGGAAAAAATGTACTAATCGAAACATATTTTCCGGATGTCCAGGGCCGGACAGGGGCCAGCAATATTTTATAACTTTCTTATTAGGGATCCTGCCACTTACATATTTCCGTATGTCATTCGGAAAGACAAAACGAAGAAATGTACAGTATCAGAATATTTAATCCGGGCGTCCAGGGCCGGACAGGGGCCAGCAATATTTTATAACTTCCTTATTAGGGATCCTGCCACTTACATATTTCAGTATGTTATTCAGAAAGACAAAACGAAGAAATGTACAGTATCAGAATATTTAATCCGGGCGTGCAGGGCCGGACAGGGTCCAGCAATATTTTATAACTTTCTAATTAGGGATCCTGCCACTTACATATTTCCGTATGTCATTCGGAAAGACAAAACGAAGAAATGTACAGTATCAGAATATTTAATCCGGGCGTCCAGGGCCGGACAGGGGCCAGCAATATTTTATAACTTTCTTATTAGGGATCCTGCCACTTACATATTTCAGTATGTTATTCAGAAAGACAAAACGAAGAAATGTACAGTATCAGAATATTCAATCCGGGCGTCCAGGGCCGGACAGGGGCCAGCAATATTTTATAACTTTCTTATTAGGGATCCTGCCACTTACATATTTCAGTTCAGTATGATATTTAGAAAGACAAAACGAAGAAATGTACAGTATCAGAATATTTAATCCGGGCGTCCAGGGCCGGACAGGGGCCAGCAATATTTTATAACTTTCTCATTAGGGATCCTGCCACTTACATATTTCAGTATGTTATTCAGAAAGATAAAACGAAGAAATGTACAGTATCAGAATATTTAATCCGGGCGTCCAGGGCCAGACAGGGGCCAGCAATATTTTATAACTTTCTTATTAGGGATCCTGCCACTTACATATTTCAGTATGTCATTCAGAAAGACAAAACGAGGAAATGTACAGTATCAGAATATTTAATCCGGGCGTCCAGGGCCGGACAGGGGCCAGCAATATTTTATAACTTTCTAATTAGGGATCCTGCCACTTACATATTTCAGTATGTTATTCAGAAAGATAAAACGAAGAAATGTACAGTATCAGAATATTTAATCCGGGCGTCCAGGGCCGGACAGGGGCCAGCAATATTTTATAACTTTCTTATTAGGGATCCTGCCACCTACATATTTCAGTTTTTTATTCAGAAAGACAAAACGAAGAAATGTACAGTATCAGAATATTTAATCCGGGCGTCCAGGGCCGGACAGGGGCCAGCAATATTTTATAACTCTCTTATTAGGGATCCTGCCACTTACATATTTCCGTATGTCATTCGGAAAGACAAAACGAAGAAATGTACAGTATCAGAATATTTAATCCGGGCGTCCAGGGCCGGACAGGGGCCAGCAATATTTTATAACTTCCTTATTAGGGATCCTGCCACTTACATATTTCAGTATGTTATTCAGAAAGACAAAACGAAGAAATGTACAGTATCAGAATATTTCATCCGGGCGTCAGGGCCGGACAGGGGCCAGCAATAATTTATAACTTCCTTATTAGGGATCCTGCCACTTACATATTTCAGTATGTTATTCAGAAAGACAAAACGAAGAAATGTACAGTATCAGAATATTTAATCCGGGCGTCCAGGGCCGGACAGGGGCCAGCAATATTTTATAACTCTCTTATTAGGGATCCTGCCACTTACATATTTCCGTATGTCATTCGGAAAGACAAAACGAAGAAATGTACAGTATCAGAATATTTAATCCGGGCGTCCAGGGCCGGACAGGGGCCAGCAATATTTTATAACTTCTTTATTAGGGATTCTGCCACTTACATATTACAGTATCAGAATATTTAATCCGGGCGTCCAGGGCCGGACAGGGGCCAGCAATATTTTATAACTTTCTTATTAGGGATCCTGCCACTTACATATTTCAGTATGTTATTCAGAAAGACAAAACGAAGAAATGTACAGTATCAGAATATTTAATCCGGGCGTCCAGGGCCGGACAGGGGCCAGCAATATTTTATAACTTTCTTATTAGGGATCCTGCCACTTACATATTTCAGTATGTTATTCAGAAAGACAAAACGAAGAAATGTACAGTTTCAGAATATTTAATCCGGGCGTCCAGGGCCGGACAGGGGCCAGCAATATTTTATAACTTTCTTATTAGGGATCCTGCCACTTACATATTTCAGTATGTTATTCAGAAAGATAAAACGAAGAAATGGACAGTATCAGAATATTTAGTCCGGGCGTCCAGGGCCGGACAGGGGCCAGCAATATTTTATAACTTTCTTATTAGGGATCCTGCCATTTACATATTTCAGTATGTTATTCAGAAAGATAAAACGAAGAAATGTACAGTATCAGAATATTTAATCCGGGCGTCCAGGGCCGGACAGGGGCCAGCAATATTTTATAACTTTCTTATTAGGGATCCTGCCACTTACATATTTCAGTATGTCATTCAGAAAGACAAAACGAGGAAATTTACAGTATCAGAATATTTAATCCGGGCGTCCAGGGCCAGACAGGGGCCAGCAATATTTTATAACTTTCTCATTAGGGATCCTGCCACTTACATATTTCAGTATGTCATTCAGAAAGACAAAACGAAGAAATGAACGGTATCAGAATATTTAATCCGGGCGTCCAGGGCCGGACAGGGGCCAGCAATAATTTATAACTTCCTTATAAGGGATCCTGCCCCTTACATATTTCAGTATGTCATTCGGAAAGACAAAACGAAGAAATGAACGGTATCAGAATAATAAATCCGGGCGTTCAGGGCCGGACAGGGGCCAGCAATATTTTATAACTTTCTTATTAGGGATCCTGTCACTTACATATTTCAGTATGTCATTCGGAAAGACAAAACGAAGAAATGTACAGTATCAGAATATTTAATCCGGGCGTCCAGGGCCGGACAGGGGCCAGCAATATTTTATAACTCTCTCATTAGGGATCCTGCCACTTACATATTTCAGTATGTCATTCGGAAAGACGAAACGAAGAAATGTACAGTATCAGAATATTCAATCCGGGCGTCCAGGGCCGGACAGGGGCCAGCAATATTTTATAACTTCCTTATTAGGGACCCTGCCACTTACATATTTCAGTATGTCATTCGGAAAGACAAAACGAGGAAATGTACAGTATCAGAATATTTAATCCAAGCGTTCATTTTCGCGTGTAGGTAGGTGATCGAAGCATGGAAGGATCGGGAGTTATACAGGGTCGGCCAAGGCGTAGGCTGACGGATTGTTACAAAATACAGTTGAATGTTGTTTTTGGGGATTCTGTTATCAAAATCATTGTTTGTGAAAAATACGAAAATATAGTGCTATTCACAGTAATGAATTCAGCAAGAAAAATATTTGAGGCGTTTCGCAATTTAATTCTTTGATTGTTGGAAATTCATAGTTTTGTTATCGTTTGATTAAATGAAGAATAAGATGCCCACTTTTCATTCAACAAAAGAAGTATGTTTCTCTCATCATTCAAATGAAAATACAACTAGGTACATTCATGAAATCGATCTAATTAATTTCATAAAATATCTTGAAACAACAAAATAACATCATTCTATCACAATTGTTTATTAAAACAAAAGTACAGTTGCTGTTGAAAGGGTTATCAGCGCACAAGGATACTTCATATGATACAGAATGTCCCGAAACTCAACGTCATCCTTCATAGGATGGGCGAGTTATGTTTGACTAGAATATCAGAATTTGAATATTGATATTGATTGATATTGAATTGACATCGTTGATCAGTTGTTCATGTGCTACTGCAACAAAACCTCATATTCTCAGATCTAATATTTTTCACGTGTCCCTGAATATTTTTCTTTTTGAAACAAGGAAATGTGTAAGTAATTTTTAAAAAAACAATATCGCAATTGGATGAAGTTGAATTTTGATATACGCTATATTATATTATATTTAACAAAAAAACGTTTTTTACTTTCATCACAGTAATCACAGTTAGGTAACTATGTTACATACAGTGTGTTTCACTCTCATGGAAACACCGCCGTATATTCCGTAATTATCGACGAAAAACTATGAAATTTTCAGGATCGATAGATGCACTGAGAATGAACTCACTGCACAAAGTGTCATCCTAGTATATATCACACACTGCACGCCAGCAGCGATGGAACCACCCATTTTTCCGGAAAGTCATATAAGGGGGCAAAATTGGCTCAATATTCAATCGGATTCGTATTCAGGATCCCCAAAATAGGACACTACTAATACACCTCTCTTCTGAAAAATTATAATTTTTTTCACTTCCTATGGAAACGCTCCCGTATCTTTCGTAATTTTCGACGTAGAACCATGTAATCATCTGGATCGGGAATGACACTGAATGAACTCACTGCACGAAAGCGATATACGTGATATACCCTGCACGCCAGCAGCGATGGAACCACCCATTTTTGCAGCTGGCGTGCAGTGTATATCACGTAGGATGACGCATTTTGTGCATTGAGTTCATTTTCAGAATTTCTGTTGATACTGCAAATTT